CTTTGAGTTTTATATGCTTTCTTGAACTTCCAGGAAGATGAGACAACCTTTGTGCATGAGGTCTTAATTATTTTCCAAACAATTTTTCCTGCATGTGTAACACTTATAATTACTATAATTATTTTAACATTGTTTACCGGCATTATTCAATTCTCTGTGGTACATACTGTTACATGCTGTGGGGTTCCCTTTGTATTATATTTTTATGGTATAAAAAACCTGTATAATTGCTGATGTGACTCTACCACTTCTGTCTCTATGAACATGGGGATGCAACTCACTCCAGTTTGTTCAGCTTTGACTTGAACATTGACCATGTGAGCAGTGGTTCACAGACAGCAACCAATGTATTGCAGACATATTGGCTATATCTGCTGCTAGGTGTGGGATTTTAATTCATTCCCCTAAATCCATTGTACATTTAGCTGGAGGGACCACGAGGTTCATCCTTGTAAGTGGTTTGGAGGAGGGAGGAGTGGAGAATAGAATTTTGCAGACTGCGCACACCCCATTTTTGTTCACAATGAAACTGATTTCATTATTTGCTTCCTGTCCCTTGTTTCACTGACTGTTGTCACAGCTCCAGCTGGAGGATGTCATTCTGCTTGGGGATCCCCATCCCTACTCTAGGTACTGACCAGCTGCCAACTGGCTTCAATAACCATGCATGATCAGAAGGCTAAGGAAGATAACCTCTGAAGGATGCCCACTTATGAAGAGAAGACTGGAAGGAGATAAAGTAATAGTTTCTGCACATAAAAGGTAGATGTCAAGGTGAAAGAATTTAGCTGCCATTTACACCTGCTGAGGACAACAGAAGTAGTCATGGGCTAAAAGTGCATCAAGGGAAACTTAACTATGGCAAAAAATTTTTAATCACGTGGCTACTGATGTACGGGAATTGCCGAATTTTGTGGAGCCTCACTGATTTCCCAAGGATTCAGGTGGATTCTCAGAATTAAAAGTCATGTGCTCAACTCTCACAGGCTCAGCTGAAGCTGCCTTTTAACTCACTTTGACATGATTGCTTTTGAATGCAAACAGAAATGCATTGTTTAATGAAAATGCAAAATGCCTTGAGTTGTCAAGGCTCGAAAACAATATCCTGTTTATGAGAACAACTAAGACACTTCCATCAAGAAATGCATAATCTAAAGTTGCTATTAGCCCTAAGGTGTTTGTTTCAAATAACATACTACTAATATTACAATGATAAAACATTTTGCATGCACAAACCAGTAATGAGTATTTTTGAAATGTTTTGACATTCTCTGTTGTGTGGAAACCTCACCTCACCAGTCTCTAATTGTTGGGATTATTTTCCCCATCCTCCCACAAAAGGCAATGAAAAGTTCACACAAAGTTATCCAAAAAGTCAGGCCCCAAATTCATAGCTCATGATGGAGGCTAACCTCATTGAGCTCTGTTACTAGAGATTGCTGGCAATTTACGTTAAAAATTGTATTTCATATTCTTTGATAATTTCAGGGAGCTTATGGATCTCTTGGTGACTTCTGAACCAATTTCTGATCATACCCTTCTTCCTTAAAAATGAGAAAAGTGTCTGTAAAAATGGAAAATCCTGTTTCTATGCCACTTTAACTGCAGAGCATCCAAATACCCCAAACCGGAAACTCATTTACACCTCCCAGTCTTCCTTGTAGGAAGAAAAGACAGCAAGGTTGCCATTTAATTTCTAGAAGTTATGACACCTTCTGCACAAAACCACCTTTGGAAATGGGAGTAGAAACACAACCCCAAACAACTTATGCCTCTTAATAATATGGGCAATGTGGAGTTTGTCTGGCTGGGGAATTCTGCACCAGAACCACTTTGGACAGCAGTTGCATGGAATGGCTGTGCAAAGTAAGCCCAAAAAAGAAAAAGCTGCTTTGCAGCCCACCCTGTCACTGTCCACCTCGGAGTGGAGACCATCTTTGCTCTAAACACTCGTTTAGTGGGTGAAGGTAGTGAAAAACTGTCCCTTCAGTGTTTTCTTCTCCAGGGTAAATATACCCAGCTCTCCTAGCCTCCCTCTTCTTGCACCCAGCACACTGACCACCCTGCAGCCTCCATCGGACTCGCTCCTGGCTGTCCATGGCTCTTGTACTGAGCACCCAGAACTGGACATGGAGGTCTGGATGTGGCCTCCTGAATGCCAGCTGGAGGGGAATCAACACTTTTCTCCTGCCACTGGCTATGCTCTGGTTCAGGCAGCCTAGCCTGCGCGGTTGGCTGTCACCGCCACAAGGATGCAGCACTGCCTCATGTCACCTTTTGGGCCCCCCGGGCCCTTTTTTTTTTTTTTTTTTTTTTTTTTCCTCCAGTATTCTTGACCTCTCCAGGAACAGATCCCACCTACTAATCCATTCAATGAGGGAGAGCAGGGTCTGCTGCCAGAGCAGGTAGCAGGAGGAGAGAGGGAACAAGAGAGCATAAAAACCATCCTCATGCAGAGAACCAGTAAAAGTTCAGGCACCATTTAGTGGTTGCTTTGAGATATCAGGTTTTTATATGCTCATGTCAGTGTAACTGCTTTATCAGGAGCAAAAACACAGAAACAGAAGCTCAGATTTTTAAAAGGAAACCCTTTTCTGCTGATCAGTGCCATCTTCCCCATGCCAGCTGAAGGGGAGTCTGGATCCTTTAGGGACCAATAGCAACTGAGATCAGCAGAGCCTTTTAAACCATGCAAGTAGGATAAATGCATGTGGGAGAGCTTCCCCTGGGCCTTGGCTGTGCCACCTTCATGCCTTAATTGTGAACCTCCATCTCCCTCTAATGGCTGCAGACCTCCAGACCTCACTGCCTGTCCTGACCATGCTGGTGCCTAGGGTGAGCAGGGGTAGAGAGGAGCCAGGTTTTTAATAGACCTGGTATCAGAAAGTGATTGATCCCATGGGATGTAGTCAGGAGGGAGCTACTTGCTTAGGTCTTTCCTCTCTTTTTCATTTGATTCCCCAGGGTTAGTGATTTACCAGAAGTTAAAATGAATTCTCTCTCTGCATGGGGAGCAAGACTCCTCCTAATCCTGGAGGACAGCTGGTAGCATCTGTCGCTGGTTTTTACAGGTGTTGTGGTTTAACGCCAGCCAGCAACTATGCACCATGCAGCTGCTCAGTCACTCTCCCACACACAGTGGGACGGGGGAGAAAATCGGGGAAAAAAGTAAAACTCGTAGGTTGAAATAAGAACAGTTTAATAGAACAGAAAAGAAGAAACTAATAATGATAACAATAATAAAATTACAATAATAATAATAAAAGGCTTGGAATATACAAGTGATGCACAGTGCAATTGCTCACCACCCACCAACCAATGCCTAGTTAGTCCCTGAGCAGCAATCCCCCCCCAGCCCCAACTCCCCCCAGTTTATATACTGGGCATGACATCACATGGTATGGAATACTCTGTTGGCCAGTTTGGGTCAGCTGTCCTGGCTGTGTCCCCTCCCAACTTCTTGTGCCCCCCCAGCCTTCTTGCTGGCTAGGCATGAGAAGCTGAAAAATCCTTGACTTCAGACTAAACATTACTTAGCAACAACTGAAAACTTCAGTGTGTAATCAACATTCTTCTCATACCAAACTCAAAACACAGCACTATATCAGCTACTAGGAAGACAATTAACTCTATCACAGCTGAAACCAGGACACAGACAAATCTATCACTTTATTAGAAAAAAAGAGTCTACAGAAATCCCGTTTGGTCTGTTTGGGGCGCTGGAGAGGAAGCCAAGGAGAAAGGAGGGGGTTTTCGTTCTGGAATTTGCCCAGGGAGCTGGCTGAGCAGAGCAAGGCAGAGAAGCAGTGATGGGAAGAGCTGCCAGGTCTCCCACTGCACCTCTGGATGGTGGTAGAGAGCTTCTGCTTCCCTGGTGCTTCCCCAGGAGCACCTCCTGGGAGATACTGTGGTGTAGGTCGGGTGTGCCAAGACATGTGCTTTGGGACTTTGCCCCTTACATAAATATCCTAGGAAATCAAAATATTGGTCAAGCACGATTTCCTGCTATCTACAAAAATGCTATTGCCAAGGAACAGCTGGAATTGGAATTGAAAGTTAGTTTTCTCTCTGGCTGCAATTTTATAACCACAAACTACTGATGCTGATCACCCATCCAATGCAGGCAGGGCCAGCTCAGGGTCACAGCATCACAAGAGACCTTCTGCAGCATCCTCTCTCCCTCCTGCTATGCCAGGGACTATCCCACACAACCCATTTCTTAATCTGCTCAGCTGTGGTTTGTCCAGTGAAAAAATTGCAGAGCATGGGACACCTGGGGGAAGCTTGCCCTAGTCCTGGGGTGCAGGACTGAAAGCTCCTGTGTGACCCATATGCAAACGGGCTGTTCTCCCCTGCGATGCTGGTGCAACCAAGCTAAGCCTGGATAGATGGTAAACTCCTGCCTGAGAGCTGCTAATGAGTCTCATAACTTAAATCAAGCCTTCTTCTAAATATCACCGTGTGCTGCTTCTTTTACTATGTCTCTGGATAACTTTTCAACACCAAGATCTGTTCCCACAGATGGTAAATCTAGTCCTAAAAGCGTGGTTACTGCCATTATTTTACACAAAAGAGTGGTATAACAACAGGGAATAGTTTTTTCCAGTAGTAGGTATTAGAAACAGTTTTAAAAAATGGAAAATAAGTCAGACAGAGAGCAGGAATCCAGCTGCAACCTCAGTTTAATATGACCAGTACAACCGGTGAATATAATTGATCCAGTAACAGTAAAAACCTCTCGGGGTGCGAACACTGTAGTTCAAAGCCTGAGCACCTGCTCAGTTACTTAACTTCTCACTAACATCTTTTCTGTTGCAGAAATAACTGAAGTGTGGTCAAAAAAGAAAGGCAATGCACTCTATGAGTTTAGCATGGATACAATAAGGGGTAAAATAAGGCCAAAGCTTCTCTGGGGGTTAGGAATGGGAACAGGGGCAGAAAAATAACCTCAGACCTCAGCTACACAGCTTGCTGGTTTTATGACTACTTCTTTATCTCCTTTACCACAGCCATTTTGAAGCACAGCGACTCTTCTTGGAGTGGCTTGAACGTTTCACTCCCCCTGCATGATGCTGGTTCGAGTGCTGGGTGGCCCGTGGGTAGAGGCACTTGGACTTGTTTAGGTGTTGTGTGGATGAGCTCTTGTGCTTGACTCCCTCCTGCAGCAGCGAGCATTTAGCTGTGTGTTGCAAGGAGCGCTCCTTTATTTCCTGCCCAGGGAGACACTTGGGCACATGTGGCTGCGGCGGGCACTTGCTTACACATTGCTGCGAGGAGTAAGTGGTGACACACTCCTGCATCGGGTAGCCCTTCATGCACTTCTGCTGGGGGAAACTGCTCGTGCATTCCTGCAGGAAAGACTGCGTTATGCACTGCTGCGGGGGGCACTCGGTGACTCCCTGCAGTGGCAGAGAATAGCCGCTGGTCATCCCCTGCAGGGACCGGAGCTCCGTGCCGTACCGCTGGGATGAGCATTTGGATATCTTCTGCGACCTGCATTCGTCCTTGCACGAGGACGAGTACTTGATCCCACATGGTGGGAACTTGAGTTTGCTTGGCTCTGGGCACCTGGGTGCGCATGGTGGGAGGCTCTTGGCCGTACGCTTTTTCTCAGGGCAGCTGGTCTCACAGGGCTGGAAATTCTGCATCGTGCTCAGCTTCAGGCTGGGCTTCCTGCAGGGCAGAAGGCGAGTAGTCTCGCAAGGCTCAGGGTACAGCAGGATGCACTGTTGTACATTGGGCTGACAAGACAGCAGAGACATCTGGCTTACACTTGGCTGTGGGCACACGTAAGTGAAAGGTTGCGTGTAGCTTTGCCATCTCGGCATTGGGCTCTTGATCACACTCACGGGGTGGCATGTGGTACTGCATGCATCAGACTGGGGCGTGCACTGCTGGATGCTTTCAGTGATATAGCTAGATCCCGGTAGGTACAGGTGTTTATACCGCTCCCCATAATAGTGCATGGTCATGCAAGGTGCTTATGCCTAAAAGAAGCAGGAAAAAGACAGTTCACGTAGGCATTGGCTATTTTTTTGTGATGCAGGCCTCAGAGTTTCCCCACAGGCATCTCAATATGGCAAGCACACACCCGAGCCCTCCTGAAGGTCAGAGGCTCTTGGTGACTCAAGACCAGGCTGTGATCACCCAGGTGAGGAGAGGAGAGTTTGTTCTCGGCTCATGCCCCCACACCCTTCTTTTAAGAGCCCAGAAGCAACCAGGGATTGGAGGCAGACAAACCAGGGAGTTTTCATGCCACTCTTCAAAGACCAGCTAAGTGTCCAACAAAGCATTTCACCAAGGAGAAGTGACATTATGACCTGCTGTCTTACTTCCTGGAAATCTCCTGTGTCCCCACTGGGACATCCTTTCAAGTTTATATCCTGCAACTCCCAAGCACCAGAGATGAAAGGCAAGCCAAAATTAAAGGTGTGTCCATGGTGTAATACTCAGGCGTGGCTGCAGTTCACACGGGCAAACCCAAGCTGAGGTTAAATTAGCTAGCTGAAGGTAAGGATAGGTTTGTGACAGCACGGAGCTCAGCATATATGACCTGCCTGCCTGCCGATTCACAGTCCCACAGGGGTCTGCTGGGCTGGCAGTGTGCAATTACAGGCTCTGAGCTTGCCACCATAGCATCAGCTTCACTGCCTCTGCAAGCCTTGCAGCCCTAGCTTCATACTATTGTGTAGGCATCCTCAAGAAAAGAAAAGAAGAAATACAACAGTGTTGTGTCTAAGTATTTGGTAAAACCATAGCAGGAAAGGAGAAGCTATCAAGGCAAGATCTCAGCTGGTGTTAACTGGTCAATTTTCACTGAGTTGAGAGAATTACACCCATTTAAAGCAGCCTCCAGTCCTGCACTACAGTCATACCAAACCATAGAGTCCTGGGTTTGTTATGGTAACCCAAAGACCCACTGTCAAAATGTCTGGCATACCAGCTCTGATGGATACTGAAACTTCATCCTGGCAGCCCCTGTGCAAGCAGCATGAAGGGGAGTCTAGCCAAGAGGTCCATGTTTTCCTCCTGAAACCACTGTGAAATGTGGCCAACTTTGCCTTGGCCCTGGGACTTGTAGGAGAAACCATCCCGCTTCATTCCCCACTCCAGAAAACACCGGTTTCAGGGAGTTTTCTGAATTTTTTACTGGATTATTTTGAGCACAACAGGTACTGGAACAACTGACATGTGAAAGGTACTCTGATCAAAAATGTTCTTTTTCATTTCAACATTGTTTGGAGATTAAGACATATAATTAAATGACTGTAAAGAAACTGCATTTTCTGAACACTCCTAGTTCTGTCTATAATTACGCAAGGCATTTTATCTTCCAAAAGCCTATCACTGGGTGATTATTAGCAGTAACAATGCTGTGTGTTACTATCATTAGGAAAACTTATTATCACTACGATTATAATAATCATTGACTAATAAAAACAACCCATTGAAAAACAATGATAGCAATTGCTACTACTACATGTACAATGCTAAAGTATCTAGTGATGCTTATCAAGATAAAAAGCTTCTAAAGTAGGGGGGATTATTTGCTTCCAGGGGGTTGTTTACATCTCAGACTTATTTTTGTCATTCTTACCCTAGATAGAAATTTTAACATGTTCAGACTTAGCTAGAGAGTCTCTCTGCTGACTTTCACATTGGCACTGAAGTTGGTCAGCTTCTTACTATTATCTGAAAAGTTGTTTTGTTTAAATTCCATAAAATGGCAGCAAATTTCTCCATGCCACTTCCTTTAGAGGTGTTGCAAGGTCATATGTGACACCTGCCAGCATCGAGCCCTTTATGTAGTCAATAGTCTCCTTTGGACTAGAACTAACAGAAAGCGTAGAAAAGCCCACAAATCCCACTCCTGACTTCACAGTCCATCTGGAAGTGCTCTCCCAATATTCTTCAGTTCAGCATGGAGGAGATGCTCCAGCTGTTAGAGCCACGCTTGCCGGTGCTGATGGCAGCATCCCCCAGAGGATGCTTCTCTGAGAGTACACAGGCAGCACCTCTGCCTGCTCCAGCCACCCAGGAATAAAACAGCATTTCAGGAGCTCCATTAAAAGCCAGACTTACCCACTTCATCAATGAGAACAACCGGAGAGAAGTGCCTAGGAGAGCCCTGCGATGACAGAGCTTTTATACAGTGAATAAATGCCCTAGGGGAGTAAGGCGGTTTGGCTGGGTGATGCTCTAATTGCCTGCCAGTCCTGGCCAAGCCACGTGCATCTTCGTGCTGGTGGGAATGGCTGTTCTCACTCTGTGGGGCTGCCACCACCTCCCAGCACTGCTGGGGCACCTGGCTTATCTGTGAAACCTCCTGATCCAACACGCTGAATGAGCAAAGGCCCTGGCAGGCCAAGGATACCCTGTGCAGGGGCTGCTTATGGCCCTCACGCTACGAATCCCCATGCACAGTGCCAAAGCATCCCTGCCTGCCCATTGCAAATCCAGACCAGCTAAAACACACCTTTCCACCCAAAAGATTGCAGTTGAGACCACCAAAGGGACCGGTCAAGGGACTCCTCATTTCCATGGGAGCTGAATGCATAAGTCCCTTCGGTGCCTTTGAAAACACCATCCAGGAAGGACTCTCGGCAACTTTTTGCAGACCATAATTACTGTGGCATGCAGACTTCCTTCACTTACACAGGGAATCCAGAGAAGAGACAGATGATTGGCACTGAGAAAGCCTTGGGCTAAGGGCAAGACGGCTACTAAAAAGGACTTGCCACAAAGTGAATAACGTGCTGGAAGAGGTGACGCTTTTCCGGCACAACAAAGGGGAGAAGGGACAAGCAGGAACACTGGGTCGGCCCGGGGAAAGGCAGCTGAATCAAACCGGGCTCATGTCCTGAAAACACAAATCACATTTCCTGCTCTGCTGCACCGTCTCTGCACCAGTCATCCTTCCCTTTGTTCCCTGTTTATGCCACGAATAAACCCAAGGGAAAATTAACAGTGGCATGAGCGTAAGTGCCAACAGGGAATGCACTTTTATGCAGTCATTTCTGCATAAGCGAAGGCCCTGGCTTTTTTTTTTCCTTTTATGCGAATCTGACACCTATGAATTGGGTTCCAGCACGCTGGGATTTCGGGTGAGGTCCCACACATTGAAATAAAAAGAGTTGAAATAAGTTCATTTTTAATGGAGTAGGTGGAAAATTTCTCACCAATATGAAGCACCGGGGATGGTGCTGGGTTGCCATCCCTGGAGGTATTTAAAAGACATGTGGACGTGGCACTTAGGGACATGGTTTCTTGGTGGACTTGGCAGTGTTATATTTATAGTTGGACTCGATGATCTTAAGGGTCTTTTCTAACTTAAACGATCTACGATTTGAAGCAGAATATTGATCTCCAGCTTATGAACAATTGAGTAAATTTTCTGTTTCTATTTTCACCAGGAAATCCAGAAGCCTGAAGGCAGGTTTGTTATTTACATTTCTGATTTTCCAACAAAAAAACCTCCCTCAGTATCATAGAAAAAAAAACACAGACAAAGCGCATGTTTTCCCAGTTGATGCCGACATTTCGAGAGCTACAAAAACCAAAGGGAAGAATGCTTTCTTCAGGCTTATCTTCTTTTTGCAGTTGAAGACAAAAGCACTGAATCCAGCCTGGATTTCTCCAGCTTTCATAGCATTTCACACCCCTGGACTACAACACCCTTTTTAATGTTAAATGATCTGACCCAAGATTTTAGGAATCAAGCTGGCGTCAGAGAGCATGTAAGCAGATTAATACAATTTTTATAAGCTCCATAAATCCAGTTCCTGGGCAAGCTCCAGATCAAGTAGCCTTCAAATAATGCTAATACTCAGTTTAGTGTTTCCAGTGCAGGTAGCAAAATATTAACCCGATGATAACATCATGCCCTGTCATCCAAATGTTCTTAATTAGCATCTGTAAAGTCCTTTCATCCCAGAGAGACACACAGTGCCATATGGGACATTGTTGTGGGGGCTATTATTATTCCATTATTCCCAATTAAGCACAAGGGAAACTGAGGCACATTGCACTGTGGTCACTTGGCAGCGCAGCATGAGTCAGAGCCAGGGTCAGAACCAGACTCCATTGCAACTGCCTCCAAAACAAGCCCCATGCTCCGGTAGCCACTCCACCCCTGTGACATGAGGTCCTGCACCACCCGGCCACCCACAACCCAGGTAGATTTTCCTAAAGATCCCCTGGGCTCTGGCTCCTATGGGAAAGCGACAACGATGTGACAACTCCACAGAAGGCTACACCATTGCTCATCTCAGTTTTAAAGGGGACACAAAACATTGGGTTGTGAGAGCCTCCCTGGCTCTGCAAGGTGGAAGGAGAGCCACGGTCACTGCTGCTCTTGCATGCTGCCTTGCTGGGCCAAAGCATCATCACTGGACATTCAGGAGAAGGTGTGAAAAGGGTCTGCTCCTCCATGACCCACTGAGTACCCTGGGGAAGCAGCCAGATGCCACCTCAACATTGCTAGATGCTCAAGTCTTGGACACATCCTTGCCTTCAGAGGGCAGCCCGTGGTGGCACCCCAAGGTCACCGAGCAAGGGTGGAGCAGGGCAGGATGCGGGGCAGCGTCCCAGCCCCAGTCACACCCTCCTCTTTGTCTTGCAACACTTGTTTTTGCCCTCCAAATAGGCATGATGTACTTAGTGTGAGCTACTACTCATTTTCCTAATGATAGGGCATATTACAAGATTTTTGTATTTTTCAGACAGCATTTCACTATATTTAATAAAGAGGAAGCACCACAGGGCAAAAAAACAAGATATTTAATCTCACGTCAGAGAACTATATTTATTTACGTATATATATATGTATAATAAAAGCATACATATATATATATGGTTTGTTTTCAGTACAGTGTAGAGTACACTTCTTCAGGCAGCATAAAGAATATAGTTAATTGCTTTTATAGCTCAAACACTTATAAAATAGTCGTGCTACAACTTTCAGTGTTATTTCAAATACTTTCTTTAGTTTCAAGTCATATTTTCAATATTAATTAAAGCAACCAAGTGAATAAAAACTTTCATGTATAAAATTTCAGCAAGGACCAACTTCACCAAGCCAGAAATCCTGTCTTGTCTGGAGACTCTACTGAAGTCAGCACAGAGTCAGTGGTTTAAAGCAGCAGGGATTTCTGGCCACCTTCCGAAATGAAGGCCATTAGAGTAAGGTTCGTATACAGTTTGCCTAGCAAATTTACGTTTGGCTTCCAAATCTGTGAGTGAAAACAGCTGTTTCGGAGAACTCGCAGCCTCATGGAATCCAGGTTAGCCTGAACATTGTCTCCCAGTGCCAGGACTAAACCCAGAGCCAGGCACAGGCCAGTACTCTGCCGGCCGCACTGCCAGTCCTTTTGATTCTGTCATGATTTGGACTCCTTAGACATTTCTATTTCTTCTCTTTTTTTTTAATTTTTTTAAAAATCACTATTCATTTCAACTAGGTGAGAATTTAATAGCATCCCACTAAACTATGCCTTGTAGCAGATTAAGCCTGCTCCAGGTAGGCTTACAAGCCACAGATACCTGGAGTGCAGCCATGGAAATAATATTGCACCCTGGCCCAAAACAGAGCTGAGCTACAGGGGAAATACTGGAAAACAGAGATAAAGCAGACTTAAGCAATAGGAACTAGTCGGCAGGTGGTACGAGGAGATAAATAACGCCTGCCCCAAAGCTGTACTTCGCTCTTTTTCTGTGGACCATCCTTTCCCCCACTCCTTTTTACCAGGGCCATTTGGACACAGAACAGTACTTTTTAGAGTGACTTGAAATTTTTACTCCACCTGACTGACATTGCTGCAGGACACATTTAGCTGCATGTGGCTGCTGTGGGACACACTTGGTGGCACACTGCTGCTGTGGGACACACTTGGTCGCACAATGCTGCTGCGGGACACACTTGGTGGCACACTGCTGCTGTGGGACACATTTGGTCACACACTGCTGCTGTGGGACACATTTGGTCACACACTGCTGCTGCGGGACACATTTGGTCGCACAATGCTGCTGCGGGACACCCTTGGTCGCACACTGCTGCTGTGGGACACCCTTGGTCGCACACTGCTGCTGCGGGACACATTTGGTCACACACTGCTGCTGTGGGACACACTTGGTCACACACTGCTGTGGGACACCCTTGGTTGCACACTGCTGCTGTGGGACACAAGTTGTCTCACACTGCTGTGGGACACAAATGGTAGCACCCTTGGTGTCACACTGCTGCGGGACACACTTGGTCACACACCTGGTTGCACACTGCTGTGGGACGTACATGGTGGCACTCTGCTGCGGGGCACAAGAGGTCACAAACTGGTGCGAGACACGCTTGGTTGCACACTGCTGTGGGACACACGTGGTGACACACCTGGTCACACACTGCTGCTGCGGGGTGTACGTGGTCACACACTGCTGCGGGATGCACTTGGTCGCACACTGCTGCTGTGGGATGCCCTTGGCCAGGTACGGCTGCTGTGGCACACACGTGGTCACGCACCTGGTCGCACACTGCTGCTGCGGGATGCACTTGGTCGCGCTCTGCTGCTGGGGGGCATAGGCGGTCATGCACTTGGTCGCACACTGTTGGGGCACACCTTTGGTTGCACACTGCTGCTGCAGCACATGCTTCATCACACAAGGCTGCTGCGACGCACCCTTGGTCGCACACTGTTGCTGTGGCACGCATGTTGTCACGCATCGAGTTTCACATGGCTGCTTTAGGATGCACTGGGTCACACACTGCTGCTGCGGCACACACTTGGTTGCATACTGCTGCCATGGTACACACTGGGTCACACACTGCTGTTGGGAGAACCTGGAGGACATGATCCGCTGCTGGGGGACACAGGGGGCTACATACTGTGGGGTACACAGTGTCGAGTGCCAGGTAGGCACTGGCCGGCATCTGGCAGCATACATCGGCGGGCACTTGATGGGGATGGGTTCCTGGTAGACCAGAGGAAGGCACTGATGTAGGTAGCACGACATCTTGGTGAGGCTTTGGCAGGACTGGAACGACACGTGAGAAAGCAGAGTCTTTAGACAGGCACCTGGCTGATTTTCTCACAGTCTTGCTGCTGCCCGTGTAGCAGGACTGGCTTGCTTCACTGGGTGATAGAGACACATCCCGCCTATGCCACAGTCTCAAAACCATGCCAGCAGCAGCCAAGGACCCAACCCATTATTTTTAACTCTGAAACATGGTGCTAAGTCAAACAGTGGGGAAAATCAGAGACATGTAGCACTAAATATCTCCCCAGACTGCAATTCCCTCCCAATCACCTGGACCTCCACTGGGGGAGAACTGATCTTGGAGGTCAGCAGAGGAAGGGCTGATCTCAGAGCTGCCTTTCAATCATTAAATCCAGTTTTCCCCTCCTGCTTTTGGTTGGTGACTGCCTCTGACCTCTTGCTGATGCATTAAGAAAAAGGCCCAACCCAGAAACAAGCTCTGAACCTCTGGCCACATCTGCCATAGCAGGAGAGGCAAAGATCACCCAAGGCACCGCTGCTTGGTGATCCCATCACACCGCAGGCAGGCAGAGGTTCACAGCTCAGTCCCAGCATCACAAAGTTCATGCTCATTAGAGAACCAAACCAATTAAAGTGTAACAATACCACAACTGAACACAAACCTGCTTACAGCTCTTCTAGCATTATGTTCCCTGATGCACCAAAGCTGCTTTGATTGTTGTCAGGCACCCCCAAAAGCAAACAATAGCAGCACCCCAATTACTTCTAACAACGTTTCCTCACATTTTTCAGGAGTGTCTCTTGGACTCAGATGCTCAGCTGCAGACATTGAGAGCGCACTCCCACTCCAACATAGCAATTCAAACGAACTAGTTTTAAAAACTTTTCCCATAGAGTATTTTTTATATGTAAAAAAGCAGAAATAAATCTGCATTTCAGCAGCTACAGAGGCTCAGCACAAACCAGACTTACCCAGCTTCCTGGCGAGAACAGCTTTGTGATGTGACCAGTGAGTCCTAATAGAAGGAGAGCTTTTATATAGCCACTAAACGTGCCTTGAAGGTATGAGGTACCCATGACATAGCCTATTAGCTCCTATGCAAAAGCTGTTCTGTGTTCAACATTCGTAGTGACTAGCATCAGTGTACTCATCCCTGAGGATGAGTAGTTGAATGTCGACTCCCCATTGTAAGAGTAATTACCTTTTGTATAATCCTTCCTGGCATGGTAAGACTGAATGGTATTTGGAGAGGCAGCAGCAGTGGCATCCCCTGCTTCGGGGGTTTTGCAAGGCAGAAGTGCACCAAATAACATGCAGTACTGGCTTTCCAGAGGTCTCACTGGAGCCAGGCTTCACAGTCCCTGGAAATGTCCTGGTGGTCCCCCAGAAATGGGGCCATCCCATCACTCAGCCTCTTTTGGCACACACATGGCATTGGCTTCATGCCGTGAGAGCTGCACTGACCGCTCCATGTCCTTCTCTAACTTTAGTCCCTGGTCAGAGCTGGCAGCATTTCTCATCTGCCCCATAATGCCCAGCAGCCAGGGTTGGTTTTGGGTGCAGGCTGGACACAGGGCACTGGCTCCTCAGGAAAAACAGGAGGTCCTAGTAAAGTTCAAATCACCCTCTTGGGTGGGTGCAGTTCATCATCCATAGAGAACTTCATTTTTAGTTCACATAGCTCTGGAGAGCCCCTGGCTGTTGGTGTCTTGATGCTCCCATGATCCCAGTGCAATCACCTGTTAGAGCAATGGGAATACACCGTCCAGTGACTCTCAGATGAGCAGAAAAGATGAGCTACAGTCACATTTGATTGCAGCCCTTGCACAACAAGCTCAGCTGTCAAAGCTGTGACCGGCAGCATGACAGTCTACAAAAAGTATCAGGAGCAGATAAACTTCCTCCAGTCCTGCGGATACTTTCTCAGTGAGTCAACTTCTTATCACACACTGCACCCAGAAAAAAACTAGTTAGAAAACGGGGAGATTAATTTTTTGAAGTCACTGAAGTTCTAATCAATGCTTTCATGTATATGTTGTCACATGAAATATCCCCCGCAAAGTGACAATTTCTTCCTGCTGACTACAAGGAGAGCTGAGGGGGACCAATGGAGAGGAGTGCTCTGCCCCACCGACATCTAGCACTGGCTTAGATGAAACCCACCCCAAGGGGACCAGTTCCTGAGTATGCTTATTAAAAACTGCAGTTTCTTGTGAAGTAGAGAAATGGCTCTGCCCATGTGGTTTTGGAGGCAAAGAGAAAGGTCCATAAATAATTTTGTAGTGAAACTGAATAATAAAGTTTAGGAATTCTTGGACAACTATGACCCATACCAGGCAAGAATCACAGGGGGTGAAATGCTCCCTTTACTATAGGCTTCTCCAGCAAGAACAAATCCTAACCCTTGCTGGTCAGCACTGAGTGTATTCATCTTTGCCTGAACCACAAGAAATGTGGCTTTGTTGTGGCATCTCTCCTGCAGAAATTGGTTCTTTGATCCAAAGCCATAACTCTTCATTGCTTTTTAGCTCCAAAGGTTGTAGGTGTGATCCTCCCTGTTAACCAAAGTGAACCCTTCACTTTTACATTATTTTTATTCTAGTCTGGATGCAGGCACTGCCCCAACCTTCAAACAAATCTTTATTTCATTCTGTACTTGACTGAAACCCCATGTGTACTTGCCTAACTTACTGAAAGCCCAGGTGAACTTTAATTTTTTGATCACAACATTTACTTGTCTTTCATGTTAATACCCAGTAATGTCTGTAAGACTATGTGTCTAAGCCCTCTTAAAAAGTTGTTGTGGCTTAACCTCAGCTGGCAGCTAAGCACCTTGCAGCTGCTTACTCACTCCCTGCCAAGTGGGATGGGGAAGAGAATCAGGGAAAAAAAAAAGTAAAACTTGTGGGTTGAGATAAAGGCAGTTTAATAGGACAGAAAAGGAAGGGAAAATAATAATTACAATAATAATAATAGAATATATAAAACAAGTGATGCACAATACAATTGCTCACCACCCACTGACCGATGCCCAGCCAAACCCTGAGGTGCGGTGCCCCCCGGCCAACTCCCCCCAGTTTAAATACTGGGCATGATGTAATACCGTATGGCATACCCCATTTGGCTTGTTTGGGTCAGCTGTCCCAGCTGTGTCCCCTCCCATTTTCTTGTGCACTCCCAGCCTCCGCTGGCAGGGCAGCATGAGAAGCTGAAAAGATCTTGACTTAGTATAAATACTGCTTAACAACTAAAACATCAGTGTGTTATCAACATTTTTCTCATCCTAAATCCAAAACACAGCACTATACCAGCTACTAAGAAGAAAATTAACTTTATCCAGCTGAAACCAGGACATCAATACACTCCAAAACTGCAGAATCAAAGAAAGAAAGAAAAAAACCAGAAACCCAATTAGGCTCCATTTTAACTTTGGCAACATAGCAACTTTGGAGACTTCCACTATGTAACAATTTAATGAGTGTTTCACTTTCACATGATACTGCCTGTCAAAAATGTGTGCTTCTGTTGTCATCATCTGTGCATATCCTGGTAGTATCCAGTTTTTCTCCCCACAAGCCAGCCCTGCCCTGCAGTGGTTGTCAGCTAAGAAAATCTCCTGCGCTTTTTTAACATGCCTGATGATTTAACCTGGTGAATAGCGTGAGATGAAGGTGGGAAAAAGAAGTTAAAACAGGGCTGTGGCACTGAGAAGTACGACGAGGGAAGCTGAAAAACATCCTGGAGGAGATGCCAGCTGAGACATTAGGGATTCCACCACCTTCCCTTTAATAAGTCAGGAATGCAAAGGAGCACCGTCACAGTGCAGCAATTTTGGAGCATGAGCCAATGCACCAGGAATTCAAAGCTCCCTGCCTGCTCCAAATATAGAAATCTGGCAGAACAAGACAGTCAAAAAAGAAGACAGAAGAAACACATGGCACATGAAAAATAAGGAGGTGATTGGTGACAGCCAACATGGCTTCACTAAGGGCAAATCGTGCCTGACAGATTTGGTGGCCTTTTACGACAGGGTTACAGCATTGGTGGATAAAGGAAGAATGACTGACATAATCTACCTGGACTTGTACAAAGCATTTGACACTGTCCTGCATGACATCCTTGTCTCTAAATTGGACATACATGGATTTGACAGATGGACCACTCAGTGGATAAGGAATTGGCTGGATGGTCACACTCAAAGGATTGTGGTCAACGGCTCGATGTCCAAGTGGAGACCAGTGATGAGCGGCGTTCCTCAGGGTTTGGTATTGGGACCAGTGCTGTTTAACATCTTTGTTGGCAACATGGACAGTGGGATTGAGTTCACCCTCAGCAAGTTTGCCAGCGACACCAAACTGTGTGGTGCAGTCAAAACACTGGAGGGAAGGGATGCCATCCAGAAGGACCTTGACAGGCTTGAGACGTGGGCCCCTGCAAACTTCATGAAGTTCAACAAGGCCAACTGCAAGGTCCTGCATATGGGTCAGGGAAATCCAAGCACAAATACAGGCTGGGCGGAAAATCGATTGAGAGCAGCCCTGAGGAGATGGAGTTGAGGGTGTTGGTTGATGAGAAGCTCAACATGACCCAGCAATGTGCATTTGCAGCCCAGAAAGCCAACTATATCCTGGGCTGCATCAAAAGAAGCATGACCAGCACGTTGAGGGACATGATTCTGCCCCTCTGCTCTGCTCTTGTGAGACCCCACCTGGAGTACTGGGGCCCCCAACATAAGAAGGGCATGGACCTGTTGGAGCGAGTCCAGAGGAGGGCCATGAAGATGATCAGAGGGCTGGAGCACCTCTCCTATGAAGTCAGGCTGAGAGAGTTGGGGTTATTCAGCCTGGAGAAGAGAAGGCTCCAGGAAGACCTTACTGCAGCCTTCCAGTACTTAAAGGGGGCCTACAAGAAAGCTGGAGAGGGACTTTTTACAAGGGCATGTAATGATAGGACAAGGAGTAATGGCTTTAAACTGAAAGAGAGTAGATTTAGATTAGATTTAAGGAAGAAGTTC